GAGCTATCCCAGTTCATCACTCGCTCTTTCAGCACTGGTGAAGGTATTGCCTTCACTGGCTCAAGACTAACAGAGATGCCAGAAGATCCAGGCTTTCCAGATCACCCTACGCAATCAAAATCATGCCCAGGAAAACCCAAACTTGTTCTTCCAAAAATTTTGCCGTTATTTCCACAGAGCTCTACAGCAGAAAATTCTCCTATATGACCCCAAAGAAAGGTGTTCCAAGCTTGGGAGTTGCAGGGCCAATGACGGTTCTTCAAAGAATGAAAACAGCACATGGAGAAGGGGGGAGGAGGAGCACTAAAAATAATCATTTAGTATCACCTGTATCTTCATCCTGGCTATCTCAGGCTCCACTGTGATTGAAGGGCTCAAAATTCTGAGTCCCTCAGATACTGTCAATGGGTAAAAATCTCCCCAGTAAACAATGTTCCTTCAGTTCTAACTAAAAGGAAAATTCCCTAAGAGTGAAAACCACCATATAAAATCTTTAATTTTGTCATCATTCGTAATTATAATGTACTTCTCGGAGGAATCTGACCCAGAGGAAATTTGACTGCCTTCCACAAGAAGTGATCCATGGCACTACACTCATTCATACTTTATACAGATTCAAAGAAAATAAAAATATGCAAGCATTTTTTTGTTGACACAGTTGCCTAAGTTTTGTCTCTTTTTTTGTTACTACGTATTTTTAGCTATTAATATTAAACTAATAAATTATATTAAACTATTAAGCTATTTAAACATCCATGAAGCAAACTCCAACGCAAATTGATTAATGGTGTTTGGGTTACCACCTTTACCTAGAAAAGGCCTGAGAACAGTTAATGACTTGCAGTCTCACACTGCAGGGTGGCCCACACAGGTGCTTCCATTGCTACAGCTGCTGGTGGTGATACCCAGAAATACTGCAGTCAAGGAGAGCCCCTTTCAAATAGCTCATAATTGCTCTCAGGGGAAGAGAAAAGCAGATGCACGTAATAAGTCCTTCATGTAAATGTTTTCTTTATCGCTGAACTTCCTCAATGGAAACTGAGTTAGGAGGAGCAGGAAGCAAGAATAGGGGAGCCTCTTCATACTCCAGCCCACATCAAGGTTGAGTCCATTGAGACAGGCCCAGGACCCCAGTGAGCTGGTTCAGAACACTTAACTAATAAAAACTTGGGATTAATCTCAAAAAATTAGGAATTTCATCCTCAAAATAGCTTTTTAACGGTATAAAGTGAAATACAGTGTTAGGGCTACATTGAAGGAAAAGAAACAAAATGGGGACTCAGTGAAGCTGCGTGAAGGTTGACTAACTTTTAGAAGCCTGTCAACATGTATAAACAACCTTATTTCTGGCACAGTTTATCCACAATCTCTACTAAAGTTCATTTTCTTTAATCAAAACTTGTAACAAGTGTGGTAGGTTGACCCTGGTTGGGTGCCAGGTGTCACCAAAGCTGCTCCATCACTGCTCTCTTCAGCCAGGCAGGGGACAGAAAATACAACAGAAGGCTTCTGGGTCAAGGTAAGGACAGAGAGAGATCACCCACTGAACACCCTCATGGCCAGTCTGGGCTTGGGGAAATGGGTTTAAGTTATTACCAATCAAACTGGAATAAGATCATGAGAAATAAGGTTAATTCTTTAATATACCTTTTCCCCAGCCCAACCTTTTTCCCTATCATCTCTGTCTCCTCTCCTCAAGCAGTGCAGGGGGATGGGAATGGGAGTTGCAGTCAGCCCAGCACGTTGCATCTGCCACTCCTTTTTCCTCAGGAGACTCTTTACAGTCTTCCCTTGCTCCATCCTGGGATCCCTCCCCCTGGACACTGTCCTTCATGAACTGCTCCAGTGTGGGTCCTTACCACAATATACAGTCCTTTAGGAACAAATTGTTCCAGAGAGGGTCCCCTGCAGGATCCCAAGTCCTGCCAGCAAACCTGCTCCAGCACAAGCTTCCCACAGCCTCCATGGGTAATCCATGTGCTCTGGTGGCTCCCTGCTCCACCACTAACCTCCATGAGTTGTAGGGGGACAGCCTGCCTTACCATGGTCTGCCCCACAGGCTGCAGGGAAATCTCTGCTCCCGCACCTGCAGCACCTCCTCCCACTCCATCTTCACTGATGGTGGTGTTTGCATAGTTGTTTCTCACATATTCTCGCTCCTCTCTCTGCTATTGTTCTTCCCCAGTTCTTTTTTTTCCCCTCTCCACTCAGTTTTGCCAGAGGCACTCCCACCACTGCTGACAGGCTCAGTCCTGGCCAGAACTGGATCCATCCTGGAGCCAGCTGGCACTGGCTTTGTCAGACACAGGAGAAGCTTCCAGCAGCTTCTCACAGAAGTGAGCCCTGCAGCCCCCTGCTACCAAAACCTTGCCATGCAAACCAAATACAGCAAGACACAGCTGGAACACAGGAGATGAGGAAAACCCAAGGTGTTCATAGATCCAAAGAAAAGCTATTTGGTGCCAAACCCCGGAGACAAACACCAGATGTTCTCAGCCAGCCCCAATCCCAGCTCTGCCAGACACAGGGAACATTGTTTAATCCTTTGTTCTTGGGTGTCACATATCTGTAATGGTAACAAAGCACCATGGACTGACTAATCCATGGTCCAAAGGCAGTCTCTGCATGGCAGCAGAGTTGGACATCCCCAACAGTATTGAGAAGGACAACGTTTATCACGTATTATTGAAGACTACATGACATTCAACCATATGCATCCGTCCAAAGACCTTTTTCAAACAAGCTCTGAGAGCTACAGTTCTCAGAACTACTGCAGTCTGAACACTAAACAGGTCTATGAAAGTTACAAGGTATAAGTCCAGAATTTCCTTGCCAGTGGGACCTTCTTGGGTGTTTTATTTAAGCCTTGTGGAATTCATTCTCATTCGCAGATTGGATGTTAAGAAGTCAGAAAGCTACAAACATTCTTTCTCTTTTCCTTAAGAGCTGTCCTGCTTGGTCTAAACCTGTTCCCAGCTGCAGCCATTTATCCTGTTACCTTGATGGCAGGTGGATAACCTTACTGTCATTCTGGTGACCACACAAAGTTTATTTAAATAAAGTCAGACATTTATTTGCAGTATAAACAGGCTATGATGAAAACCAACCAACCCCAGCAATCCACTTGTTCTGTTTACTTAGCTATTGCTCCTGAAAAACAGAAGAGGTGACTAAAACCCTGCCAGGCATTTCTTTTCCATTTAGTTTTTAAGGAGCCTTCTATTCAGGTGGCCTTTTTGATTCAGTTATGAAACCTTACATTGTACTAGTACTCTGCTGTAGCTTTTTCTGCAGCAGAGCCATCCCTCTTCCATTTGAATTGTCCGACTGTGATGACCCTGATGTCTTTAAAGCTGTCGATGCAGCACTGCAGAAGTACAATGGCGACAGAGCAACTGGTAATCAATTCGCTCTATACGTGGTGATGGAAGCCAAGAGAACTGTAAGTAGACTTTGGGGGAAAAAAAAGAAAAAAAAGTTGGGATTGTTTATGCAGTGTGAATCAGCTTATCTCCATCTCGTTTTTAAGGGGGCAAGCATGACAGCACAGTGCCTTCCAAAAACGTTTTAAAAAATCGAAGTGACTTGCACAGTACGATACTCGTTCCCATGACAAGCAGGGACGTATTTTATGTTCTTATCAACAGAACTGTGTGTGCTGGTGAATTGCTTACTAATACAAGGACTAAAGAATAGAAAAATTCTATCACTAATACAATTTGTCTTACTAATCCCCTCTGTTCTCTCCTTTCTTTGTTGGGAATTTTACCCCTTTCTATCATCACTAAGGTTTTCAGATCAATGGTAAAAAACTGCTTACTAAAAACATTATATAATCTTGACTTGGCAAGAGCTGGTGTCACAAATAAAAACGAATGACCTGATAAAGTTTGGCAATACTCTGAATTGTTTGGGAATATTATTTGACTGACACCTGTCTTAAGTCAAAGATCTAACTAACAGCACCAGGTGGTATATTAGTCGAACAGGGTGACAGCTAAAATTACAGGAAAAAAAAAGAATGCAACATGATCCTTTGCCTGGAGTCCTTCTGTATAACCTTAATCTAACAAAAGAGTATTTACCTCTGAGAAGCATACAAAGATGGTATTACCATAATAATGACAGGCACTACTTTACTTGAAAATAACATTAGCATTTTTTTTCTACTGGATTGGATTTTCAGATTTAAACCACAAGAAAACCAGTGTCAGAGAGAATATTTTGCAGCCCAAAATCACAAGGCACTCTTAACCAGCTAGAAATTTACCTCAGAAAGGGGACGTGCACTCCTAAATGCCTTACAGCAAACTACCCCCACCTCCTGGCACCCGCCCTCTGGTGTTCCTGTTTACACACTGTGGAGATTTAAGCATGTGGAGACAAAGACTAAAATCAGGAAATCTTTTATGCAATTAAATAAATGAATAGCCTCACTGTTTTCACTGAACCACACTCATCTTTAACAATAGCCAAATGCAAACATCTCTGTATCAGAGCTGTAATACCACATTCTTTCTGCTGATGTTCCCAAAGGAGTTTCAGCATTTTATCTTGAATAATGTTGTATTTTTAAGAATACACATTTCTTGCAATTATTATTCATCTTTCCTTCTCTAGATATCCATCTTTCCTTTCCTTAAAAGATCTGAAGTGGAAATCAACTATTACTTTGAATCACTGATCTGATTACGATGTTAAGTAAAAAACAGAGAAAAGGAATCTGCAATTGAAATTTCCTCATACTGGAGATTCTTTTCTAAAAAGAGTATAGATTTTACTCCTTGCTAGTCTCACAATGTTGAATACATTAATTAAATAGCTGGTTATTACATATTCATGTACATCCATTATTGATAGGGTAATAAAACATAAAAGCTGACTAGTGAAAGACTAAACCTGCCCCAGTTAAAGGCATAGCTGCTCATAATAATAATGAAATAAACCCATAGCAAATAACATACCAAAACAATGTCTTTTCTTATGTATTTTGTTTACTCACTGAGCTGATTTACTGCAGATTTAGAACACTGTAACAGAGAACAGAATTTGGCTCTTTTTAAGTCCCAGACAATATAATCTGATGCAGCTCCATAAATGTCAATTTCTTCCTGCTGAGGATTAAGTCTATTATATTTTTAGAGCTCTTTTTATCCTTTTTTACAACCTGCAACCATTATATCAGGTACTTGTACACTTCTTCGTAGCTGTAGCAATACATAACAGGAATTGAGAGAAGGCAGAATATAATTCTGTGTCTACATCAGTGTAAATCCAGCATATGCCACCCACACCAGCTCAGCTTCTCTTTCTTGGTACCACTAAGGCAAGAATTATCATTTAATTCTCCCAGCGAATAATAACTGGTTATTTGAAAATAACCAGTGCTAAAATACAGCAACTGCCTCTTTGTATTTGAAAAGTTACATTGGCAGAGCATTTTTAGTGGCTGTAAAAGATTAGTAACTTCTGACTTCATACCTTCTCTAAAGGATGAACCACAAACTTTGGAGTGTGTCACCATCACCTGCAGGCACAGGCTCACTGCTTGCTTTACGGCAAGGAGAAAATGCCCGCTACTGATTTACCAACTTCTGAAATACTTCCACGAGCCAGGCCAAACTTTGCTGAATACTTTTTATTCATCTCATGGGATTCCTGAGGCTGCCCTCGGCTGCAGCTCAGCCTGCAGTGCCCGCAGAAAACCGCAGGCAGTGCCAAGGGCTGTCTCCAGAGCACAAGCCCTGCTCGGCCCTTCCTGCAGGTGGCACAGCTGAAGTTCCCCGGCTCCCCCACCATGGGCACTGCCAGGCTGCCCCAGCGCTGCTGAGCCCCGGCTGCCAGGGGAGCTGCACAGAAGCAGAGTAGACAGATCTGGGAGAAGGCCAAGAGTGAGAGCGAGGGAGTCAGACAGGAGCACAGTCCAAGCTGGTGATTATGCTAACAATCCAAACAGCCATCCAAACTGGCTTTTCTGGAGTACATTTAAATGAGATTATAAAACCTAACCACTTTCTAGTTCTAAAACCCTTGGTACTACAAGTTAAAATGAAGGTAGTTGAGCATATTGTATCTATTACATCAACACATTGCCATTGTAGGTAAGGGCTAAGTAATATAATTAGATTAGTTAATATTTGAATTACCACAATCTGGGAGACCAGCAGCCAATATGAAACCATACTATAAAATACAAGGTAACAGATGAATAGTATTTACTTTTCGGAGCTCTTATCTTTTCACTTGATTTATTACTATGCAAATGATGACCTGTATACTGTTCTAATACAGGCAGGTCCTGACCCACAATTCTATATGAAATATCGAATACTTGAAACTTCTTGTGCCATTGAGGAAAACAAACCCTGGCAACACTGTCATTACAAACCATCTGCAGAGGCTGTAAGTATCTGTTCTTCTTACAAGTTCTCTGTACAGAAACATCAGTATAATGACCAGGAATGTATTTGCCTGGGGGAAAATGCAGTAGAAAAATTAATTGTTTTAGCTGTGGTGCTTTTGAGAGCTTATATGACTAAAGTACAGTAAAGAAATGTTTAAAATTCTAAAGTTAACCATTATAATAACGATTTTTCCTTTATAATCCTGAATATATGCAGAAAGGAACATTTCAGAGCTTCAATATGAATGTTGACAATAAACCCAACATAAGATACGTGCACACAGCAAGGGCTGTAAAACTTTCTATCAATTATGTATAATGGAAACTTGCACAACCAAATGCTGACATGGAAGCCACTAGGGCACAAAATCTGGCAGAGGTCTTTCAGCAGTGCAAAGAGCAAATTGGGTAAATAGTTTATACAGTCTTTATTCAAGAGGATGTGGTAATTTCCATTATTCTGACCGTAAATTCTTCAGTTAATCAATATACATCATACAAATACAAAGCAATCTTTCAAGTTATCTGCTCAGTTCATCCCCTGCTTTCCTCACAATCAACAAAACTGGTCCTTTTCCAGGAAAAAAAGAGCAAATTAGACACTACCACAAATGTACACATCAACCCCTTGCCAAAATCAGTTTGCAACTGTCAGCTGTGTTCAACAACTAGAGGCATTATATAGCACTGTATTTTTCCTCAGCAAGTTCAAGACAATTGTTGCCGTATGTTTTTGCAGCAAACAGGAGAATGCACAGCTCGAGTTCACATGAATGATGCCGAAAAAACAAGTAATGTTACACAAGAGTGCAAAATTTTCTCAGGTATGTAAATATTTGGGACAGTATTCAACAAATACACTGACAAATAAGAATGGAATAAATATAATGCTGAGACTTTCAGGTGATTTTAAAGGTAGAAGTTCCTTATCATTCTATGTAGGCATTTATAAATAATCTTCCATAAGCAACTACATGTTAAGAATTTCACTGTTATACACATATAGTCAGTGAAGCACTGGCAGTTTCTGTCCAGGGTAATAAAAATGAGCCTGTGTTTGTAGTAAGTTTCTTCAAGCACTGAAATTGTCACAAGTTAAAATTAATTTTCTAAAGACCAAAAGCATCCCAGTAACTTAAGAGACTAGATACAACTTGTCACACTTCAAATTTCTGTCCTTACTTGTTTACATATAAAATTGTGCCAGGAATCATTAGAAAAATACTTTATATGACAAAATTGCACCTCAATTTTCTCCAAACTAGAAATGAGTATTTCTGTTAAAGTTTACCAAAACAAATATTTACCCCAACCAAGAAAAGAAAACTAAAATTTCATTTACAAAATAATTCTACATCGTTTACAGCGATGTAATTATATGAGAGACTGTGATATCTTTTAGACCTCAACAGTAAGCATTACTACATTTCTAACCTATAAGATATTCACATATAACTATTATATTCACATAGAAATTTCCTTTATTAAAAAGAGATCATGTTGTTTTAAAACTTTGTAACTGAGAGCTCTATTCCTACTGTTCTAAAAGACATATCCAAGCTAGCTTTAAAACATCCATCTATCTATTAACTACAGAAATATTTACCACGATTTCTGAGATGTTTGGCAATTCTTTTTTGTTGTTGTTGTTGTTCCCAGTTATCTTATTTAAAGCCAAAACTGGCGTTACCTACAGCCAGTGTCCTTCTAGGAACTGCAGTGCATGAACTCCATGTTCTACTGCTTTTGTAAGGCAATGGTGACATCTAGTTGCCACTAAAAGAATGCACGGGAAATTTGCATTTGAATCTTTGCTTAGAAAGCATAAAAAACCATACATAAAGTAAATGAATTGTGTTTTCAGCCTAAGAAGCTCATCTCTTCTTACCAAGTTGTAGCAACTCTGAAAAAAAGATACACAATTGTTCAGCATTGTCCTTACAAAAGTGTCGAGACCACCGTTGGTCTAGAATGGGGTGTGCTCTTGGTTTATTATTTATTATCTCCTTTGTGATTATTTACTGAAAATATGGGCACACACAAATATGTACATATTTGCCATTACAGAGTCCAAATAAGTGAGGCTAGAAACACTAAGGGCCAGAGTTTGTTCATGTACCCCTCAGAGAGTTAAGCCTAAATATTACTGCTTGCACCGAGATATTCCAAATGTACAGAGGAGCCAAACCAGATCCAAAGGATTCAAACAGAAAGAACAAAAAACCAGATCCTGAGGGGTGAGGAATTTCCCCACCATCTTAGATACCACACTGTTCAGCCTTTTTGGTGGCACAGTTTGATCTAACTGACCCTGGACTAGTTTCCGGCTGGTGCAAGCTGGCGGAACTCCATCAAAGCCAGTTTATGCCAGCTGAAGATCAAGCACACAAATTTTACTTCAATTCCACAGAGACCACATATTGTCCCACTTTCATTCTCAAGCTCGCTGAATCGTGAAATTAATTTATGTACTGAACTATAAAATTAATTTATGAAAATCCAATCCATGATTACTAGAAAGGAAAGAGAGTTAATAGGATTAGTAGTAGGAAACAGGAGTTTGAGCATCCCTTTCAAGCTTGTGTATCCACAGCCAATCCAGCTGGTTAAACCTGAAGGTAACACCAAGTGGTAGCTGGCAGCCAACTGACTAGCAGGGGCAGTAGAATAGTCCAACTGCAGTACCAAGGGCACCCAGACTCAGAACAGTTCACAAGGGTGAGCCAAAATGCTCCTGCTGAAGTCCCCATCCCCAAATACTGTGAGGACAGCAAGCAGCTGCCACTGTGGGGGAGCTTTGAAGAACCTGAAGAACATCCCCTTTGAGTTGTAGCCTCCACCGGCTCTTCCCTGACTGCACGAGTAATGACCCTTCCTTAATGGTGTCAGAAGTACTTCCAAGGTTTTTCTAAGATTCAATAATTGCTCGATGGAGTTCACTGCTGAAACCATGCCTGGATCCTGATGCCATGGATGGCCCCTGCCACCACAAACCAGAGCACGTTTCTAAATACAACAAACGCCTCTGCAGGCCTTGAAACTGGAATGTGGGGTTTGCTCATCACACCGGTTAGAAGCAGGAAAGGTTCTTGCTCATTCCCAGGTAGGAAAAATTAAATCCTAAAGCTGTTTTACATGAAGCCCTATATTTTTTGGTTTGTTTCTTTTCCAGATGTGTCAAAGATAAGAGTTACTCACATTCCATGTCTTGGATGCTATCATCCTCTATCAGCTGACAGTTCACAAGTGTCAGAAATTCTGAATAGAGCCATTCAGAAGTTTAACAAGCACAGTGATGAGCCTGCCCTTTTCAAGCTCATAGAAATAAAACAAGCTAAAAGACAGGTTTGTGCATTATTTTTCTCTAAATTTTACCAGAACAGCAACCCAAAGCAGGTGACTTGTTTGGTTTGTGTACTTTTCTGATATTAGAGTGGCTTATAGTTCATAATAGAGCATACAAAATGCATTTAAAGTGTAGATTCTATAAATAATTATCTTAATTTATAAGGAGTCATTAATGGTTAACTACTGGATTTTCAGAGCTGACAATCTGCAGTTGCATCTAACCAGTGTTTAGCACCAGTTTATTTGCATTCAGTGCTGACATCTTGTGCCATCTCAGATGCTCCTGGGTACTTCTCTTGGCCTCTTCTTGAGGCTCCAGCAGGAGCAGATCTCTCCTGGGGTCTGTGCCAAAGCTGCCAGCCTGCACAGATGTCTCACATACTCTACAGCCTCTCAAACAGCAGCAGGCATCTATGTTTTTGCAAGGCAGTAGGGCCCATATGTCAGCAGCTGCTATACACTATAGAATGGGTAAACACCACACAGGAAAAATGGCAAGAAAACCAAAAAGCCAGAATGCCACTCACGGAAATATTTCTGCACACAGGAATATCTGCTTTGCTAGAAATGACTCCTTGGGTTGTAGAAATTTTGTGTCATCTGGTATTCCATGCAACAATTTCTTCCCTGTGAAAGGCTCTCCTTTGGACTGGTGTGACACTGCTAGAAAGTAAAATTTGTTTGGTTTTTAACTAGTATATAACCTGACACCAAGTACACAGCCTTTTCTTTGAATATGCATGTATTAGTCAAAAAGCATCTTCTGGTCTCATGTCAGTTTGACCTCTGACTTAATTCAGACTTGTCCTTTTTATATTTACTGAGGGAAATGACTCTTTGCTGAAAGACAAACTTGCACAACATTTAAGCCGCATGACAAAATGTCACAGACTGCAATCCAGCAGCTGGAAGGAGAACCACCATGTCACTTCTGGCCAACAGAGACTGTCAGAGCCCTCTACTTCAACTGATCTGGGATGGAAAGTTCCTATATTTGATTATTTCTCCTTTTTACCCCAATGTTACCTGACCCAACACTATGATACGGAGAGATTTCATGGGTGAGAAGTAGTGGCTACAGTGAGGAAAATGTGACAGCTTTCTGGAGAGAAATTTTTAAAAAGGGTCACAAACCTGGACAGAACAGCGTGTGGGAGAAGGCAAAGCCTGGGATAGACACAATTATGGGTAGATGATAAATGCAGGACACTCAACAACAAATGATGTCAGCAGTATAAAGTTACATTATTCAGATACTGGTTTACTGTGTCTCACACTCAGGAATGCAGGACTTGCCAGGCTGTATTAGCATAGCCATCTATCTAGACCAGCTTCCTGTCACTGGGATTAATAAGTAACAGGCACTTTGGAGGAGAGTGCATGAAACTCAGCAGGTTGAGGCTGCAGGCTTGCCAGGAGAAGTGGAAACCAAATACGAAGTGCACTTCTCACAAATGCAGGATTTAGTTTACTTTTTGTATCACAAGGACAAAAATCTTTTTGCTGTCCATGGACACTTTATGGTTAGTGACTGCAAAGTGATTTGATGGGAAAGCACTAGAAGAATAGTTTTGCTTTCTTTGCTAATCACATTTAATAGTTTAACTTGCAATTTTGTATTGGTTTAAATAAGGTAAAACTTAAATATCTCTTCCAGGTGGTAGCTGGATGGAATTACATAATTGAATATGAAATTGAGGAGACAAATTGCTCCAAAGAGCAATTTCCAGATTTAACTCCAGAGTGCAGAACCACTTCTAGAGGTGTAAGTATTCTTCAAAATCTGTTTATTGAGAAAATATCATATTAACAAATAATCACTGAGATTCGACTCAAGAAAATATTTAGTCTTGCTTCACTTTGAATGAAGTTTAAATCCAGTCTTATACATAACTATTTATGCAACTAGAACATCCATGTTTTCTCCTGAATCAGTGACTAAGAGGACCACTGAAATGCTTACAGATTTAGGCTCTACAGAATCTAAACAGTCTCACACAAATAATAAATCCCTTGAGAAGTTCCTATTCAGATGTTCAAGGAGTTACTCATATACAACTCAAGAAGCACTAATTAAAATTAGCACCATTTTTCCAGCTTAAGACATATTTTCTAAGAAAAGTCATTAGCTCAATTATTACTCAACCTCTACCACAGTCCAAATAAGAGAACTTCAAAAGAAATTTATTAACAAATATACATAATCTAGCTAAACAGGGCTGCAAAAACAAGTCCTCCCTCAGCTTCTCTGACCTGGAACTGAAGCAACTGTACCAAAAATAGAGGCTTCCTCTCTTAACTGACCTCCCTGAACCGGCTCACAAGGGGATCAGACAAACAATTCTGCAAACATGAGGCAGAGGGCAGGAATGCAGAGTCACAGTGAGCAGTGGTGGTGAACGGGAGGGGACTGACAGCATCTGTTTCAGCTGTTGTGGAAGTGCACTGCTGAGGGTTACACTCAAGAGCCTCTCCTGTTCCACAATCACTCCTTGTACATTTCCAGAGCGTTTCATAAGTATTGATCAAAAAGGGAAAGAATGACAACATTGTGCTCAGTACCAGAAGCGTGAGAACCAGACTAGCTGAAGCAAATCCCTGCATTATCCTTGTTTGCCCTTAAACCTTAAGCAAGTTACTTAATCTGCTTGAGTCTGAGTTTCCCCAGCTGTCACCTGCAGGTGATGACTTCTGTCACCTCACCTACTGCAGGGGTGCTCCCTCACTCACATACTGCTTTGGCAACCCAGGGGTTTTGGGATTAGATCATTAGCACTTATCCCCTGAACTGTTAAGCAGCTTTGCTAATAGATCATTGACAGATATTATTGGACTACCATATTCCACAAATATTTCATTTGTGGAAATGACCAAATTCCATGAAAGCTGCTTCTTACCTTTATTTAGCTCAGTACTATTCATTTTTAAATGGGACAAGGAGAACTGCACCCTGTTCAACACACATGTGAACCACTGATAATGCCAGTCTCTTTAAACCAGATAATAATTCTTGACATTATTTTTTATTATTTTTTTTCTAAACCACCACTAAGTAGATTTTTTTATGGATTACATTTTCAAGTATCTGTTACAGCCCTAAGATCTTGATCCTGAAATTTAAGCCTTCCTTCTTAATCTACAGTTAATTTGATAAAGGATTTCACCAAAACCTTTTCGAAAATCTCAGTATACTTTATCAACAGGTCTCTCTACCCATCTTTGTTGATGCTTTTGAAGAAATCTGACAAATCTGCAAAATATTACTTCTGTTTACCACAAAACCCCCAGTCTCTCCTTGATGTATTCATTCCCTCCAGTTCTTTCCTTATTACTATTTCTAATCACTGGAATGGTGGAATCAGTTTTATGGCTCTACAGCCTTTTAAAGAAAGAACAGATCAATGTCTGCTTTCCTCCAGCCCTAAGATATCAAGGTAATTTTAAACAAGTCACCTATCATAGTTCCTTTAGAAGACCTGAATAAATACAAGAAACTTAGTAATGTTTGATTTGATAATTGCATAATTTTCTTTTTGATCTGTACAGTTTGAGACAGAATTTCCACAGAGTTCTCCATAAAATAGGATTCTGGCTTGTAAACCTCCTCATTTTTTTTTTCTGTAATGAATATATACAAATAGTTCATTTGGCTTCTCTTTTATGATTTTCTCCAAGTGGTCCTTTCGAATCCTGATCATTTATTGGCTCTGCAGAAGCCTGTCAGGCTTCTGGCTCCCAGTATATTCAAGGAAGGAAGGAATTATTAGCAGCATGCTTGACTTATTCTGTTAGCAGGAAGGTATTAGGATGTGAGTTTGTTCATTATTTCTACATAATAAGGAGTTGTTCTGCATTTTTTACTCCAGCATGTAGGCAAATGTGAGGCCAAAGCATACCAGAATCTTCAGGCAGAGATCGCAGATATCAAGACCGAATGCAAACTTCGAGGTACGTCACAGGCACTATCAATTTTAAAAGTCCTGCAATTTCCAATGTTTTTTTTATTGTTATTTAGTGTTCCTTTTTCCCCATGCCATCTATCTGGGTACAGATTATCACAGCTTCAGAGCTTTAGAACAGGGAGCACAGTACTGCTCCATGTATTAAGTGCTGCACTCCCACCCATTCAGCCTTGGTTTTCTTCAACACACAAATTCATTGCTGTTTACATGCACCTCTTGTGCCACCTAAATCAGGTCTTCCCACACGTGTAGCAGTTCCCTCTCCATATATGCTGGCTATTCCCAGCTGGCACACAATTCTTGTTTCTATGAAAGAACTGTTAAGTGTCCAGTGTGACAGTAGATGCTGGTGCAGTGCTCTTTTATATAACCAACATGTGATATTGCTGATCACATAAAACTCAAAGATATTTTGGTTTCATTTCCCAGACCCAAATATGAAGCATTCCAAAAGGCAGAGAGAGGTTTCTAACTAACTTTTTCCCAGCCTTTACCTACACTGAATCTTTTGTTTCTTAGATCTGAACTCTGTTGGTCTCTTTCAGCTGAGGAACCAGCACATCCTGCCACTTGCCCAGGCTGTCCACAGACCATCTCAAGAACCAGTCCAGAACTGCAGAATCTACTGGAGCTTTCTATGGAGAAGTATAATTCAGAGAGCAATTACGATTTCCACTATAAACATGGAGAAGTACAATCAGCGACAGTTCAGGTTGGGGTTACAGACATTATCACTGGTCTGAGCTGAATGTTAGCTCAAGTTTGTATTTAGCTTTGAAATAATGGTTTCCTCTAAGTGTTGATACATTTGGTAACTGAAATATCCATGCAGTTTTTCTTGAAAAATTTTATCCATCTTGTCTTGCACTCAAAAATTATTCAAAAATCTCCCATTTCTTGAAATTTCATTTTTTTCTTAAAACAAAATTATTTTTAAAGCACAGGAAGAAGGTTGACTAGGAGTATTTCATTTCTTTGTACCTACCCCACTTTTTACCAGCCTTTGTAACATACCTTAGACTTTTAAAGTATAAAAGATCTATTAGACAGAACTACTCCCTTGATCTACCCCACCAATACTGTCTTCATTATTTGAAGCAGTGTCCACATCACAGTAGGTGTATGGTCCAAGAAATGAGGCTTCTCAATTTACCTGAGAAATCTGTTATTTTATATACTAATTGTGTTGCTAATAATACTCCAGCTAGATTCAGGAAAGGATATCCACACATAACATAAGATAAACAGAGAAATAGAGCTGGATAAAGAGGAACAAGGAATCTGGAGGATAATATTGGTCAGCATTTGCATCTGCCTTGTTTACTGTTCCAACACATCAAAACAGAGGTTAAAGACAGAACTGCAAACAAGACAATGAAGTAGTTCAGAAAATACTTGGTCACACCAGAATTTTTCTGAATAGCTCATGTTATCTTACTAATAACATCTGTGCTTTTTCTTTCTTTTCTTCTTTCAAACTTTTTTCTCCTTTCTGACTTTCCATATCATACTGATATTAGCATGCACACATCTTAAAAACAGACTTCAGAAAGACAGAATTTCATGTTTTGCCTGCTGTCTCTGAAGCAAGATATATTATCTCAAGCTCTGTGAAAAATACCCAGAGAACTCATAGCAGGCACATTCTTGAACCCTTGCAGATTCTCTCTTTAATGAGTTTGGCAAACAGGTTCTTTTTCAGCTGAGCCCGTTCATCACACACTTCATTTTACTCACATTCCACTTTTCTTACATCATATTTGGCTCTCTACAGCGCTATCTCTAATGATTTCATCTGTTACTAACGAAATTACTACAGGCATCTAATAAAACAAAGTCAAAATTGTGGGCCCAATATTATTCTGGCCTTTTCTGTTTCCTTCAGCTTCAATGCTGGAATTTTTGAGAGTGGGAACTGGAATAAATAAGTTAGTTGATTAGAAGCAGATACGTTTACTGACAAATATTTTAATACTGTTCTTCTTAACATATGTTGGCCCAGTGGTTAGGACTTGTAGAATATAAGTAGTATAAGCTTGTAAGTAGTATAAGCCTGTGAACTCTTTTCAATAAAATGCTTTTAGAATAGAAAGCCTTTTTTTTTTAAATTGCAGGTGGTTGCAGGAAAAAATTATGAAGTAAAATTTAGAGCCTGGAAGACAAACTGCTCAAAGAGTGAGTTTGAAAAGCTTAATGAAGACTGTGAAGCCACATCAGACAGTGTAAGTAATGATGATGTTGCCAACTGTAACGTTCCTAATGGACAAATTCATTTGCACCAGAAATTGTAAACACTTCAGTAAAATCACATGCTGAATTGTTACCTCTTTCAGTGTACTTTTGTTTCAAGAAGAGTAGCTTTCACTGTTTGTAACCCAAGCTGGTGACATATCAAAAACTGAGTCACTCCAGCTGCAGGATCAGTACTCACTGCAAAGCCAGAGGAACTTTCTTTTGATAATAATCAACCAAAGAAAGGAGAGGATGTGGCTGCTGAGAAATTAAATAGCTGTAGCACTCCTGACTCTGTGGACTTGTAGCTAAGGAAAACATGAGACTGGAGAGTTACTTGTGTGCAAAGGAATGATGTCTCTGGAGAGCACGCTGCTGACACCAGAAAAATGTGTTCCAGACACTGGAAAGTTGTGCTGATGGGGCCAGAAACCATTGGCAAGGGAGTTGTTTGGGAAGAGGGGCTTTGTCTCCCCTCTCTTTTCCTACCATATGAACAATGCTTACCCGTGAGATTTAAAAATTTGTTTGTGCACTAGGAGGTACAAAATAATAAAAAAAAAGCCTTTATCTCTATTTTAATTTCCCAATTTTTAATAGGAGAAATACTATCAACAAACAGTATTTCTTAGGAATATCATGAAGATTAAAGTTAGTGCTCCAAAAGTGCTAGAGTCGAAAGATCCAATTTTCAGAACCCAATCTCAAATCCAAAGTTGAATTAAAGTGGTGACACAGGCATACTATGACCTCAAAAATAAATATTCATCACTAAGATAGATTTCATAAATATTTGGGTAAATTTGCAAGTATTTTAAAATATTATTAGAAAAAACATTTTTTTTTTTCAGGTACAACACTTTTCCTTTGTGTCTGATGTTTTGTTGCCTTAATGTGTTGGGTTTGTTTTATTAACAGGCATCACTGTTGTGTGAAGCACAAGTTTATGTGGTCCCATGGGAGAATAAAATCACTCCAATGATTAAATGCTCTGAAGAACGAACAGTGGTATGATTCCTCTTCATCACCCACCATCTTAAGTAGAGCAAAGAACAAAGGCAGTCATTAAATTTTTTATCTATTCCAAATTATCCCATATTTTGTATCAAAAATAAGCTTTAGTAATGCCACCCTTCTCCCTCTCACCCTCTGACCTGAGCAAGCTGTTACATCGAAATCAGCTTCTCCACAAGGTGAGACAGTGGCCAACAAGGTGATCACAGCAACAAAGGCCACAGGACAGGGAGAACGCCCTGCCTGTTGACTGCTCCTCTGCACTGGCAGTTATGCTCTGAAGTATCATGCCCCATCAGCTGCTTTAAATTACTATTCATACTAGGTTTGAAACTTGAAACAAAAATGTATTTGGCAACACAATAATTATACCCCACAGATTTCCAAAGCATCTGTGAACCTTTTCATATCAGTTGAGCGGCAGATCGCCTGCCACTGCTGTCAATCTCTGCAGGAGGATCTTTCAGTTTCTTCCTACTCAGCTCCACAATTAACTAGCCCTGAACATGGGTCAGTTTGAAAATCTCAGAATGGAATATAAATATTTTTTATTATCAGAACTTTCTGATGACTGCAGGATTTTTAATAAATGCAGAGATTCCCATGCTACACTGAATAAAGACAGATTAACCTGCCCTCCTAATTAATAACCTCACTGTGCTCAGAACTTTCATAACTACATGTCCATTATGTATCAGCTAATATCTTTCCTCTCTGTTTTCACTACAATATTGTATCCACCTCAACTTGGAAATTTAGTTCCATCCCAAATAACTGATTTGTAGCTAGATAATGATCAGAGGCTTTGGTGGAGAGAAATGAAACCCATGTTGGACAGTGACTGTGTACCATGTATTCAGTCTTTGTCTTCCAGTTGAGCAGTGATAGGGGAGTAGAGATTACTCAATAACAAGTGAGTGTTTGATATTATCAGCTTTAACCTATGTGTGTTATTTCTAGGTAGTATTCTGAAATGCATACGCCAAATCTACAGGCAAAAACCTGAATAGTTACATTTTATATAACAAAATGGCACAGATCTTTTGTATACTCTACTATTGATACTACTCAGAGATGGGTTAGCCTTTAGCATAAATTGGTTTTATAAATCAGAGTATTATAATCTAAAAATTGTGGGGACATTTAGTCCTAGAAATCAACTGTATTGTTCATAAATTAAAACCAGTACATGTGTTTTGCTCTCTATAGTATCATTCCTCTCCTTAACTGGCAGAATTTCAGTGATATAGACATTTTTCTTTTACACATATACCTGCTAAAATACTCCAGAATTATTTGAGAGAATGTTTATGTTTGTATGCTTATCACAGATAGAAGAGAGAATTATCTAATTTACTTTAAAAATCTGCTAAATGATTTGGGTACTGCCATGGGCCAGCTTCTGAATTTCCCAAATCTGAAGCAATTGTTCTTGTTCAGGTAACAAATGTGGCTATCATGGCTATGTCTTTTAGGAATTTTTTGCAAGAAGGCCTCCTGGATTCACACCTTTCCGGAGTGCTTTACCCTCCTCCCCTGCAGAAGACAGTCAGAGTCCTGGCAAAGAAACAAAGGAAGATGCTGGACAGGAACCGGAAGGCAAAGGTGAACCTGAGCACAAACAGGGGCATAAACACGGGCAGGGATGTGAAAAGGATTGTGAGTCTGGCAAAAGGCATGCGCATGAAATTGGTTGAGGGTGCAGAACTGGCCACGGGTGTGGGCATAAAAAACACAGCAAAAATGGTAAACATGAATATCCAAACTCCAAATCTTCTGGGGAGTCCAGTGAAAGGGGTTTTAATCAAAACAAAACCACCCCATCATCCAGTGCTGAAACAGCACCGGAGATGGTTAGTCGAGGGATTGCAAGAAAGGAAACCAGTTCACCTGCAGAGCCACTAATTCTTCCCGATACTTCTTTATTTAATGGGTTGCCAGATCGCCCAGAATCTCTTCACCCCAGATGTCCTGGAAAACCATGGAAACAAATTATGGATCTTCCAGACCCTCCTAGCCTTCCCACAGAATTCACAAATGAGGATCTCTTGCCTTCTGCAAACGTTGATTCAGCAACAGCAGACGAAGAGAAAGACTTTGATCTCGCAGATGCCTTACAATAATTCAAACATTACAGGATCCTTTTCAGAAATGATACACAGAAAATAAGAAAAATAGTACCTTTTGAAAAGTATAAAATGTGAAGAGGCAAAAGCTCCTATTCTGTTAACTGAAAGACTCAAGTAGGTCACCAGCACTTCTGGGGACCCAAGACCATATGGCAATACTCTGTATCTCCATATATTTGCAAATATGTAAAGCAGTGTAAATCATCTGCCGCAAGCTGCTATAAGCACAAAGTGAATCACTGCATCAAATCTTACTGTATTATATTTAAAACAATGGCAGAAAGAATTTTGCAGATTACATGAAGAATCTCAACCAAATATGGGTAAAACAAAGGCAGAATAGAGAGCAAGGGAGCTTCTTCATATACATGAAATAATATTTCTCTGATTTACTGGAGTGAAATAAAGAACAAAATAAAGCAAAGGAATCTGTTTTACCTGTCAATTTCTTTAAACAAATTAATATTGCCACCAGTCTATCACTAGCAGGTTGTTCTGTTGGATAACAGGGACAGCTGAGAGAATCCTACATAAAGCACTTTTATTATTCCCTATACATATTATGCTAACTACACAGTAGAAGCACTATGATTGACAGATTTTTCATGTGGCAGAGGTGCACAAATATTACAGATCAGACAACAGAATTAAAAACTCTTAAGGCACCTAAAATTCGTTTGCCTTCTTCCATTATTAGAGTGCATAATTTTGAGACCATGTTTTCCCTCTGTATGGATCCAATAACTTATTCATCTGAAAAAAATACAATCCACAGCAAGAAACAAATAAATACTTTAATACTCAGATCAGTTCACCAGTTGGAACCACTACTTGGTCCTGTAAAAGGTTATTGACAGGGTAAGGTCCTAAAAGTGGTAACACTTCACTGATATTGTTGGAAAAGACCATATTGCCTGAAAGCACAGAGTAAGTATCCTCCAACACAGCTGCAATTCCCTGAAGCTGCTCATACCAGCTCCCGTAATTCTGTGGCATCAGGACTTTATATCCAACAGCTGGGAATGGGTCCTTCTTTTGCGTGCTGTGCTTCTAGGGCCATCACCTCCCTGGGGAGGAAGAACTAGACAGGTGAAGTCCATTCAGAGAATGCAAATGGATGGATGAACAGGATCAGGAGGTCTTGAAAGAGAAGTAGCTACAAGCAGAAGACACAGAAGTGCCTGACAGAGGCAGGGTGGAATGGTATGGACAGGGTGAAAAGAACAAAAGGAAACAGCAAATGAGTGGCAAAAACTGAAACAGACTGAATGGGATGGAGAAGTGGGCGAAGGCACCATGGGCAAGGAGCTAAAAAGGACAGGAACTGAAGAAGGGAGGTAAGAACAGAAGTAAAAAGCAAGAGACGTGTGCAGGAGGGTCTCTGAATCGTGGCAGGGCAGTCCCCAACACATCACAGAACTGAACTTACACTGCCTTGTATCTAAACATTCCCTGGCAGTGTAGCCACACCTCCCCTCTCTGGTGCCTGGTTCCTTTTTTCTAATTGCATTAAAAGCTTAATTGAAAGTCAAAAGTTCAAAATTAGAAACGGTCCCTGTGAATACAAACTCAGCCTGCTTATGTGCATCTAAATGGGATTTTTTTACACAGTGTAATTTGCTGCCATATAGACAGACATCTGTCATGACTGGTGATATATAATCAGAACCACTGTACTTGCTTTCTTTCTGAAAATTAAGTTACCAATCTTTCAGAATACAACTCAGTTGGAGCCCCATTTTAAAGAAAGATACAAAAATTATAAGTCCTGGATCAATCACTAATCAAATCCTGCATTTTTTTTTTCATTCGTTTCCTTGCAGCATAAAATGCAAAGTCTATCTTTTCTTTCTACCACAAGTACTAAACTTACAAAGCTAGACAAAGGAAAGCCTCGAATTATCTTTAGTTCTCTGCTTCTTTTCTTTTTTTTCTGAATTTTGACTCGTATGATTTTGTTTGTATCTGCAAACTCTCTGTGAATGCTGAATAATTAAGAACAGCATAAGCTCAAATCAGTTTTTCTTTAAATCACTCTAGCAATGTAAGTAATTAATACAAAATTACAGTAAAAGAAATAAAGATGCAAAGATGAGAAAACCAAAGTTTTCTTCCCATTTCTGATGTCCCTGATCTGAACAAAAAGACAGTCACACCCGTGATGTATTCTCCCCACAGAGAATCATATGTACATGATCACGAGTAGTGAGACAGACTGAGTGGTCATTTACCATGTGCTATAGTGATGACGTGAGGTTTCATTAATGTTTAAGACAAAGGTGACAATTTCAATTTGCTTTTATAACTTACAGAAATAATTACTTAAAAAAAAAAAATCATTCTGGAATAAAAATCAGTATTCCAGTCTAAAAATTTTGAACCAGAATGTTCGGATATTTTTAAAATGGAACATTTCAATTTTTCGTTGACATGTTCTCATTTACAACAAAACAGCACTTTCGGATGGAAGAATCTGCTGTCAGAAAACTCCTGACCAGCCCTGTTTCAGCTCTGCTGCTGAGAGCTCTGCAAAGCTCCCAGCTTCTCCTACTGCTGGAATCACGCTGGCGCACTCTGTCCAGGGACCACGGTGCCTAACGAGCACTTTCCTCCTTGGCCAGCAGATGGCACATTTTTTTGCCACAGGGTTTATGATCTCCAAATTTTGGCAGTTTTGTGATTGCCAGGAAAGGCTTAGTAGCTTAACACTCAGCGTTTCGTTTGGGTGAGTAACAATGTAGATACAAACATCCCATCTGTGCAATCTGTTTTAAATATTAAGCTCTAGCAACAGAGCTCCAAAGTTTGACAGTTAATTATGAGCAAGGTGTATAAATAATGTTCTAAGTGTAATTTCATGATCACAAAAAATAAAGGCTATTCCTGTACCAGAAAAAATTGCATTGTTAGTGATGCAGAAAATGCAGGAACTACGAGTCTGGGGTATGAAAACATGTCTGAATTAAAGCTCTGTTCATAATACTGCTGACATCCAGAGCTGCACGATGGCCATTCTGCAGGTGTCTGAATTTAATGTGCTCTCTCTCCTGTTCATTCCACCTGTGACTGTGGGATAAAATATGTATTTTAACTGACCATGAAAAATTCCTCAGCTTTACTATGGATGGCCTATTGGATTTCTGCCATAATTCAGATACGACCTTTTAATCACACTCAGCAGTTCCAATCATCCTCCTGTGCTATGTTGACACAGTGTAAGCCATGGGAGAGAGCTGTGCAAACACCTGACATCAGAACATGGGGAGCATTAACAATGAATACTGGCATTTGATAATGTAAGAACCCATTTCCTTCCTTGTTTTCTCAGGTCTCTCAGCCAGCAAGATAATTGTTCCCAATTTAGGAATATCAGCTCTGAGGATAAAACGAGTATAAGAGGCTACAGAGTTAGAAATGACATCATTATGTGGCCATTGTCATGTAGACAGAGCTGTACCAAATCCAAAGTGCAAATTCCTCAAATATTCTTAAAAAATAACAATGGAGTTAGATATTTTCAAGTCTGTAATCAGCTACTCACACACAACACCTAATGCTGCTGTTTACAACACTACATTGGTACAATTCAGTTTCCACAGTTTTAATTAAGCTTTAAGTGAAGTTCATTTGCTAAAATGGAATTAATAACAAAATGTTTCTACTGCATTCTAAAACAAGAGGAAGGCTGCTTCAAGGAGGAAAGAGGGAATGTTTTCCTGACTGGGTAAGGCATCTCTCTACAATGAATACTGGTAGTACTGCTGTTCCTGCATTGGTTTCGATCTGCTGCTCAGTGAAAACTCAACCATAAGCTCCAAAGAAGTAACTCCTACCAATATGGAGTAACAGGGATTCAAAACTTGACAGCCATTCTTTTCTTTTCTGCCATGAATACTGACAGTGCTGATCTGTGGTTGAAGATCAGGCATTAAATGACTTACCTTACTGTTTCAGTTCGAATTGAGCCACAGAGAATCAGAATTCTCTGCAGAATCCAGAGAATTGCCAAAGAATTACATTTGTTTTAAAAGTGAAGAGACAACAGATATTTATGAGACGCACTGTCTGAATGTGGTGGATGCCTCTCCCCCTCCCAGTGGATGCACTCATCACAGAAGCCATAATGGACCAGTTGGCTTGAAACAAAAAAATAAAATGAATGAAAAACAAGGGAAAAAATCTGACTAGGGCAGAGAATGAACAAGGAAGTACCTGTCACTCAGGGAGAACATATTTTTAACTGAAACTCAGATTACTATAACAAAACTCAAACAGTTGGGGTAGACAAGAATTGAGGATTATTGATTTCAACTTGGGGAACATAATGCTCATCAACAGAACATCAATAGAACTATAACACATTTAAAGAAAGACTTTGACCTACATGCCCAAAACAGTGTAGTTTAGTACCTTGAAAATCCACCGGACACATATGAAGGAACATAGTTTTATTTCTTATTCTAACCCTTAAGCATGTCAGCAGAAGTTAATTCCTTGACATTCAATCCAAGAGAATATAAGAATAATGCCGTAAAACATCACGAAAAAGTAAATCTACTATAGCTGAATTCTCTTCATTTATACGTGCCAGCTGTTCTAGCAGCTGTGTATTAACAAAAGAGTAGTAATGCTCACAAATTAATAAAAATAAAGGGGTATAATGGGACATAGCTCAGGCTTTGCAAAAGAAAAAAAATCAGTTCCAAAAGGAATCTAGAATTCTAACTGATCATTTAAGCAGTCTTGTGACTGCTAAACTAAAATCTCCTGTTTGAGTGCAGAGGCCTGATTTTAAATTGTGCTGAGAAGCCTGTGCTCCCATTAACCTTAAATAGCATTATGGGTTCTCAGCATTTCAAAAATCAGGTCTTAGAGCACTCAGCCAAAGTCTATGGTGTAGAAAACTGATATTACTTGGAAGTGGCTGAGATGGACATTGAGCAGTGCAATGCCTCAAAGAGGTAATTATGGGCAGAATTAACCTCCAAAGTAGCTCTTATATTTTACAGTGCTTTGGGAATTGGTGCAGGTCCTGGT